ATATATATATATATATATATATATATATATATATATATATATATATATATTCAAGAGGGAGAGAGAAAGTGACGTATCTATATACAGATAGCAACGTAGTTGTCACTGATGAGCTTCAAACTCTCAATGTAATTTCTATGAAATTTTGGCTTTTTCAATTTTTAAAAGCTTGCATGGCTTTTCACCATGTTAAACCAGTCCGTATTTTCAATCGATATCGGAAACAAAAAAAAAATAAAATTGTCAGAATAACTCTTTCCTTTTGCTCAGCCTCACAGTTCACAAGTCACTATTATTCCTATCCTGATGGATAAATAGTTATACTTAAAAAAACATCGATATAATAAATCACATAGAAAGATGAATTTTGCCTCCTACATATTTTTTTCCCTAATTTCATCACATCACTCATCTTATCACATACTTAATTATTTAATATTTAATTAATTTATTAATATACACATGTTGAAAAAAATTTATCAGATTACGTATTTTAAAAAACATTTATCAATATTTTTAAAAAAATAATGAATAAAAATAAATTTTAAACAATGTAATAAGATAAATGAAAAAAAATATTATTTAATATAGTGAGATCAATTTTTTGACGGATCAAATTTTATGTTTCTTTGGCATGGAATATGATTAGTCATAATATAAAACATGATCTAATTATTGTCTTACGAATCAATAAATAATCTATATAATAAATCACATGAAAATTTGAATTTTATTCCTACATATTTTTCCCCTCAATTCTATCACATCACTCATCTTATCACATGCTTAAACATTTAAAATATAATTAATTTGTAATTTAACATAATCTTTATTTTAAATATTATCTATATAAATTAGTATACATATGATGAAAAAATTTTATCAAATTACATATTTTGAAAAAAAATTGTCAATAATTTTAAGAAAAGAATGGATAAAAATAAATTTTAAATATAATCAAATAAATGAAAGAAAAAAATTATTATTTAATAAATTAAAATCAATTTTTTGACCACTCGAATTTTATATTTTTTTGCGTCTTTAAGTACGGGATATGACTAGTTATTATATATTTTAGAAAGTTTAATGTACATATAGTCCTGACTTGTTAACATGATGGGATGACAACATTCAATTTTGACATATTTAGCATTCAATTTGCTCGTGCACCGCAGGGGTCCATCGTCAGTATAAACATCTACAGAAGAGAGGAAGACAATATCATGTATGATTGCTGGTAGAAATAGTAATTTCAAAATTTTCATCATATATATATATCAGTTAGTTTAGTCCACCTAAAACATTAGGGGTAATTTCTCAAAATTGAAACCTGGGGGAGTACATTGTAAATAAGCCCTAACTTGAAGGGCGCATATTCAAATATGCCAGAGGGGAGCTCACTGTAATTTACCCAGTAGCAATAATGCCAATACTTATTTTCGACAAATACGGAAAATAAGTTTATACCAAAAAAAAAAAGCATAAAACCTTGGCAACAAATAGTAATTAGTTGAAAAAAGTAACCAAGTGTGATAAATTTTGGTGCACACATGAGAAAGGGAGAGGAAACCAGATTAGTATGGCATTCTACAGCTGCTACTAGCCAGAACACAGAACAACAATATTGCCAACTCGAAATGACCTTGAAAAAGTATCTTTTTTTTGTTCTGGTACTGGACAAACATGCGTCGCTTAAAGTTCTCAAAAGCTTAACAAATTTTCAAAGTATGTCTTCTAAGTAAGCTAATTCTAGAGTGATATTTTAAGCATGGGCTGTTTTTAGGATTCTAGCATATACATAAACCAAGGTCACTAAATAAGGTTTTGGATTCAGATAAGACTACATTCTCTTCTTCCCCAGGGCCTAATACTACAACGATCTGGCCTTTTCTCCCTAGAGATTACCAAAGACCACAAAAAGCTCTAAACAACAAGAAGCATTCGTTAAACCTAAGAGAGATTGCAGAGCTCACAATAGTTTTAAATATGTCTCCAATTAGTTTCACTTGCTTAATCATAGTCCTACGCCTTAGGAGACTGATTAACATGGAAACTAGAGCAGCTGCCTACCTTCGAGGTTGGCCTGTGATGTTTTACGAGTGGTACCAGTGACTGCACAACATCTGCCATCAATGGTCTGTAATCTGCCTCTGGTTGTACACACATTGCAGCAATAGCTGCCACCTGAATAACCTCCTTCATTGAGTACTGACCCTCCAATGCTGGATCCATAATTTGTACAACTTTCTCTCTATCTGTAAGCCGAGGCATGGCCTAATATGCAAAAAACAGCAGAAAGGGAAAATATATAAGAATTTGAGAAAAAGGAAAACAAAAAATACAGAGAATTGGATTACTTTTAGCACCAAGCTAGAAGAGAGTGCACATATGTCAACAAAGAGGAGGAAAAGAATTTGGTCCCTGTTAATTGAGTGTGCGGGAAGAGGCGGACTAATGGTACAGACCTAACCTTTGCTTTACGTCAACAAAGAGGACTGTTTCTTCAACTTTAAGAGTAATAGAATAGGTCAAAGTGAGTTCTTAACTCTTATCATGCTACAACATATGAATCACTACAGAATCAACAGCAGCCGAAAGATGGGGCACCCACCCAAGATACAAGAACACCCTCCCCAGGAGCTCTCTTCATATCAACCGGAACTCTGCCAGTTAGCAACTCAAGGAGGACAACTCCATAACTATACACATCCGATTTTGTGGTCAGATGCCCAGTTAATGCATACCTGCACAAGGGGCCAGTCATAGTTCAATGCAAGTATTAAAATTTAGTATTGCTGCAAGGTAGAATTGTGAAAATTTAATAGAGAAAAATAATATAAAACAACAATACCATGGATAAGTAAGAATTATTATTTTGTACAATTAGACCCAGTAGTTTTTTAGCTCTTACTCAGGGGCAACATATCCCTGCGTGCCCAACACTCGAGTGGAAACATGTCCACCAGCTCTGTCAGAGCCAAGCTTGGCCAGTCCAAAGTCAGAAACTTTGGCATGAAAGTTTTTGTCCAAAAGGATGTTGCTGCTCTTAAAATCTCGGTGAATAACTGGAGGACTGACATGTTCATGGAGATATTCCAAACCTTTTGCTGCATCCAAAGCTATTCCTAATCGGGTTTCCCAGTCCAACTTTGAAGATATGGCATTAGAACCTGCAGATTTTTTAGACGTGGCCACAACACTAGTTACAATTATCACAAAAACAATAGCTACATTGATCACAGAGAATGCAAACTACATATAACATATGCAGTATGCTGCTCCTGTGTCCTCGAGTGCAACAGCAAAATGAAAAAGTATAAGCCCAATATGCATAAAGAGTTTAGAACAACACTAATTAATCAACCAACAAAACGTATGTCAATCATTTCAAGGGGAATAACAGATCCCAAAACCAGGTATGATATTTTATTTTAGGAAATGATTACCGTTTTGAAATGCCATGTTTATAGAGTATTGGTGGACTCCAATCAAAACCAGAACGAGAGACACAAGTCATATTTGTTTCAATGAGGGAAAAGATATTTTGATTAGACACAAGAACCTGATGAATCTTTAAATCGAATAAGCTTTGGCAACCATGCTTGAAAGTTTGCTTTGAACTTCTACAAGGTTCAAGTCTGAACCAGAACCTACTGAACATTGTAAGTATGGAGTCCTGACCTGGGAAAAGGTTGGCTCAGGGAACAAAACACTGATTCGACACCAAACTGGGTCTACAATTCATAGTTCCAGCTAAAGGAATTCTCTGTCGATGAAGGTAAATTATATCCAAGAACAGCAAAAGACAAGCTCCCCCGGCCAACCCACCCCTTTCCATGTTCTATTTTCCTCCTACTAAATGTCTTCCTTTTTGAAAACCCAACTTCATAGATTAGCACATTAGATGAATCTCCCTGTCTTTTCACTATGGGTTTTGAGGTTGGCTATCCGTGTTATCTTTGCCTTAATGAGTTAGCTCCCTTGTAAGACAACACTGAAGAATGGTTCAATTCCTAAGCAAGCCACTTCAGAAAACCCAACAAAATTACAACAATGGACATTGTCACATCTTTATCCCAGTTATGATGCATTGTAATTCTTTTGGCAAAACATTTTTTCCAAATATCATCTTATTACCGTAACATCCAACCATGATTCCTTAGACAAGAAATGAATATTGCAAGTCTATTCCCATTGCCATACATAACAATGTCAACATGAATCACAATCTAAACAAAATCGATACCACTTACCACTGATGGGGTACAGATGTTCCTGCAGACCACCATTAGCCATAAACTCATAAACCAGCAATTTGCGGTTACTCTCTGAACTGTAGCCAATTAATGCCAGCAAATAAGGTGAATGCAGCCGACTCAGCAATACCACCTAAAATTCAGTATAACCAAACAATCACCAAGAATAAAATACAATCCACAACTTATGAGCTCCAAGTCTCTAACACGTCATTTAGAAGAATGTCTAAATTCTAAAGAGATCAAACCTCTACTTTGAACTCCTCTTCTCCCTGCTTTCCAGCCCGATCCATCAACTTAACTGCAACCTTCTTCCCATCCTGAAGCACACCTCGGTACACTAAACCAAATCCACCATGCCCAATAACGTTAGACTTTCCAAAACCACCAGTTGCTGAATGTAGCTGCTTGTAGGTGAAGATCTGAAGTCCCTTCTCGGTAGCAACTTTAATTTTCGAAAAACTGCTACTTTTATCCTCATTTTCAACCCCTTCAAAAGAAAAAGAAAAAGAAAAAAACCAACAAAACCTTCAACAACTAATTCTCTGGTCATTCCCCATGAAAACAGAATAACAACAATGAATTTGCTGTTCTGGATTCGATTAGGCAGACTACTTACATGTTTCTTCTTTTATCCCCTTTTCAAACAAATGGAGATACCAATGAGAAACAACCAAGATAATCCAATCCTAAACATTCACTATTTAGAAAGCGATTTTCTGTTTGGATTCTAGGAAAATGTAGGCATGACCGGAAACAATGAACTCTAGAAATCAAAGTTTTTCCCCATTATTTGTAATTTAAAAATCTTTTCCCACTTCATAGAATTCAGAACAACAATACCCATTGAAAGACAAGACCCAGTTTGTTATTTTCTTTTCCCACAAATTTTCTGGGCAACCAAACAAAGGGAAGAAAAACCAAAGAATGTTGGACATAATTAGGGTTCCAATACGTCAAATAACCCAATCAGTTAAAAGAGCAGTCAAGGAAAATGAAAGATAAATATAAACCAGATTGTTGCATAGAACTTACTTTTCTGGGTTTTCAAGCGCTTGGAGACTTTATTGCGAATGTAGCAGTAGTAGCCGAAGGCGACGAGCAATGAAGCAATGGCGAGAGAGGCGATAAGTAGGATTATGACCAAAGCTATGAGCTCCTTCTTCCGGTAGCTTTCTCCTTGTTCCATTGCTACAAATGAGCACACAGAAACTCACCAAACTTGGCCCTCGAAAATGGGTAGAGAGTGGAATGATTAGACCATTAGAAAGGAGAGAGAGTTTGTTTTAAGCTTTGAAGTGACAGAAAGGTTCAGTGGGAAAGAGGTAAACAGTGTTTTCTCTCTCCATAGTTCTCTGGTTTGTTTTGTCTTGTTTTGTGGCGCGGAGAATATTTTACTCCCTGCTTATTTAGAGAAGCATAAGGAGTTATTATTTTTTTTTGCAGTGATGTCCCTATGCTTTAGTGATTTTATATCAGTAAGTCTTTTTTACCAGAAGGAAAATCACCTCTAATATATTTTTTTCTCAAAAGATCACCTGGCATTCATTTATGTGAGGCTCATAACATACAAATTAGTTTCTTGCTCATTAAATTAAAAATATATATATACTCGAGTAGATCTACTGTTTATAATAAAATAGTATTCAATCCCATAATATCTTAATTAGGATAATTGGGTCTCACTTTTAAAACTATTTTAATCAAGTCCTACTGTCACTATGTTTCTTTTTTGTCCTTCAGAATTCTATTTAAATAATGTTTGGAATGTAATTTGTTTTCTTAATAGAACTAGCAAAGACCAATCGACCAACTAATTTGAATTGTGGTCATTTTCATTATTCCTATGCTTGCCAATAATTGATTTGGAAAAATAAATTAAAACAAAAATTTAAGCAAAAATAATGAATTTTGGATTATATTTTCAAATATTATGTAAGATCAAAAAAATTGTTAATAAATTTATTTTACAACATACGATATAACAAATTTTACATAAAGCCTAGTGTTAATGAAATTTTGAACTAGTTTGGAACTAGCTATTAGAGTAGACTTATTTATCAAAATAAATTTTTGTTATGCTTGAATGGTTTTTTTCAAGTAAAGGACAATTTTGTGTACTATAGCAGTTTGAAGGCATGTTTATTTCTCACATCGTGACATCATGCATTTTGTACATTGTTTTTTTGACAAGATTGGACCTGTTAAAAGTGATTGATCATTAAGTGTGCCAATAATAATATGATATGATGGGACATTTATTTGAGTATTTTTAATAGAAACTCAAATTTGAATAAAAAATTTAATTTAATATAAATTATTTCAATAAAAGAATTCAAATATCTATTCAAACCATTTATAAAATTCTCATATTATCTCAAAAAGCTAATGAACAACGGAGGAACTAACAAATCTGTGCAACAAATTCACCGATCAAATCCAACTCAATCGGTGCTCTTCACCCCCAAATCTCTCATCCCAACTCAAATTGATGTCTGATTTGTTGCCGAAAACCAAAAACTTCTTATTTGTTCACATGGTGTTGAAGAAAATTGTTCCATTGGAGATCGATGGAACCTTTGAGCCCATGAATTTGTTCCAATGGAGACTGAAAATCGAAAGCGTTGAAAGAGGATAGAGGCGTTGAAGAAGACTGTTCACATGATTTTTTTTTTGAAAGCAGGCATAGGTGTGGCACAAAATAAGCATCTTGGGTTTGGGTGGAGAGAGAAAAGTTACCCTTGAAATTTTGATATAGAGTCCAAGTCTCATTTAATTTGAATCCAACAAAGGTTTTCTCTTGATTTTGTATAAGTCTGAGTCAAAGATTGGAACAAAATTTTAGGCTTTTTTCTTCAAATTTAAATTTGAATCTAAATTCGAATTAGAATTACAAATGTCCTTATATCTCTCGATCTAAATGATATTAAGTTTTTTAACTGTTTTCTCTAGTCGAGTGTGAAAGATTATCCTTTAATTATCAATTGTTTTTTTTGAGAATTTTATATTATCAAAGAATTAAAATTTAAGTGAATTAGACTCCACATGAAATTGTATATAAGACCAAGGAGATGGCGTAAAGTCTAGAGATTTTTGAAAAGAACGTGGTAGATGTGAAATAACATAGATCTTTTAGTTGCTAATGAAAATATACAATAATAGAAGGGCCTTGCATGAAGGACCTCAGCAAGTACCTGCACTGGAGAGAGAAGTTTGAACTTTGAAGGTCCATTCCTCAATATCTGAGTAAATGCTTTGGGACCAGGAATGACCCCACCACCTGATATATATAGATAGAAAAATTGATGAAAGTTCGGTGACAGTCTGGGGTGTCAATTTTTAATATAGGATTAATTACAAAATGCCTCTTCTAAGTTTGGGAATCTAACCCATTTCCCCAGCTCCGGAGATGCCACCAACCTTCTTCCCTTACTTTGACGGCGTCCCCAACCACACCCCCCACCCCTTGCTCCAGCGATGCCCCCC